GTCACATCTGCCTTTTATTCTGTTAGTGGTGTTACAGTGCATCAACCTTGTTGATCTACACTTCACAGTGTTGTTTAGATTAATTCTTGTCATAAAATGATATGATGTGATTGTGTTGTTGTCATGTATCTTAATATCTTGTCATTTTACCTCTTCTGGTTTTGATTAATGTTACTCTGCCAATGTAGAAAAATTGTAATCGCTACAAATATTGCTGAGAGTAGCATCACCATAGACGATGTATTATATGTCATAGACTGTGGAAAAGCAAAGGAGACTAGTTATGATGCCTTAAACAAGCTTGCCTGTCTGTTACCATCATGGATTTCAAAGGCTTCCGCTCATCAGGTATTGACACATGGGTAGTTTTTATGTTGGGGAACATCTCACACTGCTGTGGCTGACTGATCGAGCTTGTAATGATTGCTGAATTTCTTAGTCACTATAGTTTTTATTTACTAATGGGAGAGAATGTGTCAGAGACGAGGGCGTGCTGGTCGTGTGCAGCCTGGAGTTTGTTTTAGGTTGTATCCAAAAGTGATCCACGATGCAATGCCTCAGTATCAGTTGCCTGAGATTCTCCGGACACCATTGCAAGAGTTGTGCCTGCACATCAAAAGCTTGCAGCTTGGAACTGTAGGATCATTTCTAGCAAAAGCACTTCAACCCCCAGATCCTCTTGCTGTGGAGAATGCTATTGAACTTCTGAAAACAATTGGGGCATTAGATGATAAGGAGGAGCTTACTCCACTGGGTATATTATGCTGTATATTATTATCTCCATTTGTGAGCATTGGCTTTGGATGTTATCTGAATTGATTTTCATCTAATAGGTCGGCATCTTTGCACCATGCCCTTGGACCCAAATATAGGGAAGATGCTGCTGATGGGTTCTATTTTTCAATGTCTCAATCCTGCCTTGACTATAGCTGCTGCTCTTGCATATCGGGACCCATTTGTCTTACCCATAAACAGAAAAGAGGAAGCTGATGAGGCAAAGCGATCTTTTGCTGGTGATTCTTGCAGGTTGGTTATATAGCCAGGCACTGTGCTCGTCTCTGACAGTGTTACAATGGATTTTACAATTTTGACTGTGCTTGTCTTTGAATATTGAAATTCAAGATGTATATTTGATTCAGTGATCACATAGCCCTTCTGAAAGCATTTGAAGAATGGAAGGATGCAAAACGTAGAGGACAGGACAGGCAATTCTGCTGGGATAATTTTCTTTCTTCGGTAACCTTGCAGATGATTGATGATATGAGAATGCAGTTTCTCAATTTATTATCAGACATTGGATTTGTTGACAAGTCCAGGGGCGCTAGTGTAAGATATTGGTCTCAAATTTATATATTAATTGAAATGTCTTTTCCCATAGCTTCTTCAAAATTTGTTTTCCTCTCTCTTGAACGTGTTTTGGTTAACAGATATCCTATTGACTCATCTATTCAGGCTTACAACCAGTACAGCCATGATTTGGAGATGATTTGCGCGATTCTTTGTGCTGGGCTCTACCCAAATGTTGTGCAGTGCAAAAGAAGAGGAAAACGGACAGTTTTCTACACTAAAGAAGTTGGGAAGGTTGATATCCATCCTGCATCTGTCAATGCGGGGATTCATCTCTTCCCTCTGCCCTACATGGTGTACAGTGAAAAGGTTAAAACGACCAGTATTTATATCAGAGACTCAACCAACATATCAGATTATGCTCTACTTCTATTTGGTGGTAATCTTAACCCTAGTAAAAGTGGGGAGGGCATAGAGATGCTGGGAGGTTACCTTCATTTCTCTGCTTCAAAGAGTGTCGTTGAGCTAATAAGGGTAATTTCTCTTAATCTTCCCCCCTCTCGTGTTATTGTTTGTTTCTCTCTCTCTCTCTACTACAGCCTTGAATATTCGCTTGAGCCATGCATACACAAAATATCTCATGGTAATGAGATTGGCAGAAATTGCGCGGGGAGCTTGACAAACTATTAAACAGAAAGATTGAAGAACCAGGATTGGACATTTCTGCTGGAGGAAAGGGAGTGGTTGCTGCTGCCGTGGAGCTACTGCATAGTCAGAATACAAGATGATCGTTTTTCCGGGGCTGACGGCATCCAGTTTGAGTTGGTGCGCCATATTGTTTGCTCGGGCTACAGTGGGATTGCATTGCATCTGTGTGCAGGCCTCACGTGGCCTCCCTCCATAAGGAAGCAACCCTATATTTTGCTTAAGCCCTCCCCAGATATTAATTAGGACTATTCAAATGTAAGTAGCATTGTCGTCTCACCATAATTTATATGCTCGATTTGTCCTTGCTAGATTGTACTTGTGCGTTGTAATTGACTGAGGGTACTAATAATGGTAAGTTTGATTGATATGCAAAATGAAACAAAGAAACATGTTACCATAAAATTTAACGAAAAAATTGTGTTCTTTAATTTGATAATTTACGGTGGCAGTGAAAATTATGTAATTGGAGTGTGGGGGAACCGCCCGTCATACGTCTTCAGTGCATCTGCTTTCCATCCAAGGCAACCCAGGTGTTGGGGCTCGATTTCAAGAGGAAAACAAAGTTTCTGTTTTTACGAGTCAGCAGGACAACTCTCTAGCTATGATTCACAGGCTGAACCTACTAGGATTGTCAAATTCGGTATCACGACGCTAAAATGCTAAATACCAGGACGCACGCACTGTTGAATTGAACCCACTCATTTTCAACCCGTGCCAAGCCTCGCGCTAGAGAGAGGGTTTGTGCAACAGATCACACTCATCGAATCATAAACCTTGTTGGAAAGCCAATAGTTGTCGTGGCTTTAATCATCTGCTCTTTCTTGAATGGTTATTTTACGCCCACTCCCTTCGAGAAACCTTGGTATCATCTAGAAGCAACCCGATTTATCTTTAATTTAGGATCATATTCTTATTCTTCTCTTCTAAACACTCTTCATTACATTGGTTAATGTCCAGCCTAGTGTTGGACATTTTGGATTGGTTTTAGTGCTTCTTGTCATGGGATCATTACTTTTTCTCCAAAAAATTAGTTCAATGAGATGTTCAGCACAACCACTTATATATCTTAAACTCTTCCCAACTCCTTATGAAGTGGGACGAAAGAACTCTTCTGACTAATTCGTGACGCTTTCATCACAGGTGATCCACTGAAGGGGCAAACTTGGATTTGGCTTTGATATATTTTGTCATGTAACCACTACTCTCTTATTAAAAAGTTAGTTCAATGGGATGTGCAGTGCACTCATTTATATACCTTAAACCCTTTTCAAGTTCTTTCGAGATGTAATAGCTTTGTATGATATTATTGTGTCACAACCTTTTTGTCACACACACGTGTGTGTCTGTGTATTCATGTAAACTCATTTAAAAAATAAAAAATAGAAGAAAAAAAGCTACTATATAAAAAAAAAGTACAACGATTGGGCCCTATAGTGGTTGACTGTTGAAGAAAGTAGAGTCATGAAACAAAGAAACATATGAAAGAACCTGAATGACATCTGTTCAGAAGTTCGCACGAGATATTTTGCTGCCGATGTGAGTTCTGTTGTTTCCTCGGGTGATAGCTAACTTAGTGGTGAGTTTCTGCTTACAAGATCTTTCAAACACAGAAGCATATGTGCTGGCTGCTTGGTAATCTTATATTTTGTAAGATACACAACGAATTACTTATGACAGTTTTTTTTTTTTTTCTCCGGGTGTGGGAAATTTTAATTCTCTCCTATCTTGGTGCGTAAGCAAAGATCTTTAAATCCACGTGCGACATCGTATTTGCAAAAATTTAAAAGTCTGCTTTGAAGGACTCTCATAATCATGTCATCTCAATTTCAAGCATTGTCTATTAATTTACTTTGTTTGGCAATTTTTTGAGCTGTTTCTCGGGCAAGCATCTTTGTGAATAAGGATAGAGAGATTAAGCGATTACCCTTTGGCATCGATTTTCGCATGTTTCGTGGGCATTTTGCGACAAAACTAAGTGACTTTTGATGAGAATTATGGGAGCAACATCCGAGATGCCCATGATCCAAGAAATAGGAGTCAACGATTGACGTTTATATGATCACCGTGAGAGAGACATTCCTTCCTAAAATGCTTGCTCTTCCCACATGACCAAAAGACACCTAGTGAAGCAAATAATTTGCTTATCAGAGTGGCTACTACATTCTCAGAGAGCAGCGAAGCAAAAGTAGAACTTCAACTTCTGGGTTAACAATCTTTTAGGTCTGACCGCGTTAACAAATCAGAAAAGATGACGAGTATCCGATTTAACTAATGATTAATGACGTTATACATAGTGCCCGGTATCGAACGTCTTTCATTCCTCTGAGCTTATTAGACAGAAATAAGTGGGAACGGAACACTATATATGACCATTTTTGGCCCAAAAAGAAAAAAGGAAAAGAACACGATGTTAATGACTATGTCACTGCTGCAAAATCTACAAGCTAGGCTCATTATAGTAAAACTTTCTTTGCAGAGAGTGGGATTGGTTTAAGATGTTATATAAATTGATTTGGAACTCTTCCATGCTTTTTCTGTGCAGTGCTCAAGGGTTAGAAAAATGATAAATCTATTAGAACTTAAAAAAAAAATGATTATATGATCAAATATCATAAAGTGTTACTTTTACACATCACTTGAGCATTTGCACAATATAAAGCACTAGAAGCTAAGGAATCCATATCCATGGGAAAATGAGGTTGCATAGGCGTTTGTAAGGAACGTGAAATGGTATAATACCGAGGAGTTTGCTTCCTCACTAACCCTCATATCATGAAGCAACGTAAGAGCAAACACCGACACCATGTAATTAGCCTACGGAATTGTGAAGCACTACCTAGACTGCCTACACCCATGCATGCGCTCTCATGTGCACGCCCTCGAGGCGCATTCCCTCTCATCCTCGTGCACTCCATCCACCCTTGTGTGTGTATATATATATATATCTGAAAACCTATCGACTCCATACCAAGCAATTTACATATATATATTTGTTGATATCTCTCTCTCTCTCTGTCTCAAGTGTCAGATCGATGACGGGTAGAGAGGGCACGAGAGAAGATGGAGAGAGCGTGGAAGCATAATACGGAGATATCAGTGTCACCTAATTGCCCAAGGTGTGGGTCATGTAACACCAAGTTCTGCTATTACAATAACTACAGCTTAACTCAGCCTCGCTACTTTTGCAAGGGCTGCAGAAGGTACTGGACCAAAGGAGGATCCCTCCGCAACGTCCCCGTTGGTGGTGGCTGCCGGAAAACCAGGCGCCATGCTTGCAAGACTTTACTCAGACACTCCGCCTTGCCTTCGCCACATGCTGCTAATCGCCATCCCTCTGCTGTTTCGCCTTCTAGCTCCTCATCACTGCCATCTGATCATGCTCCCCATATTGATCTGGCACTGATTTATGCGAATTTTCTCAATCAAAACCCAGATTCAAGTCATCAGGAGCCACATCATCATCAACTCATGAAAACACTGGGTTTTGATCCTTGCGTAGAGTATTCCAGTCTGTCCGACATAGTTTGGGGTCTCTCGCAACCATCCACGATAGAATCGCATTTTGATGTCGAGAGTCATCTTCTCGGTGGGTTATTTAACTCCATGCAGGATCATAAGGAGGACAGAATAATTGGTACTAGTAGCGATTTTGAACTACCGCCATTACCTGGTGAAGACGTAGCCTCGCAGTATGATATGATGATGTGGTCCGATTCTAATGACGAGACGATGGTCGTAAACCAGGCGACACATGGAAGTGAACCTCATGTTTATTGTAACTGGGGACCTTTTCGTTACCCGACGAATGTTTCTTTTCCCAGCCCTTGATTGCACTTGTGTCTCTTCATTCTTGCCCTGCTTCATGTTCACTAAGAATGAATCCATATTACTGAATAACTATATTATATATGTAAACAATTTTAACTCTCGTTGTATGGCTATGATCATTATAATTACACTGGGGTTTCAGTTATGGTTTTGCCAGGTCACGGTTTGTTCATGCTACCAAGATTTTTATAAATCATAAACGGAAGTTTTAGTTCTGCAAACTTCCTTGTTACAAAGGGATAGAACACAGTTGGGATAGACGATTTCAAGAAGAAACTTCTAAATAGTTCTTTTTTGTCAAAAAACATATAAATAGTTTATGATTAAATAGTTCTTTTTTGTCAAAAAACATATAAATAGTTTATGATTCTTTTTCACCACTTATATATATATATACTCCCTCAGTTAAAAAATATAAGGCATTTTTAATTGAATTTCACTCCCAATAAAATAGTTAATTACTTTTAAATTAATCATATCTTTTCATATTTACCCCTATTAAACACCCTACAATAAATATAAAGTTATTATTAATAAAAAAACTTTTAAAAAAAAGCAATAATTATACCTTAAAAAACTAAAAATGCCTTATATTTTTTAACATTTAATTTTTTAAAAAATGTCTTACATTTTCGAGCGGAGGGAGTATGTCTTTTTTCAGTATATTTGATGTGGCACTTCTACTCAAACCAAATTAAGTCCACTCACATTTAACATCTCAACGTTGTGCCTTTGTTTTTTACACTTTTTTTAGTAAATTTTATGGCCTCTAGCTTTCGTTGTTTAGTTCTCTTCCGCTTGCATGAATGATGAACCCCCATTTTTTTTAAGGCAAACTACAAGGGGTGATTGCACATTTCATGGGAATTATTCTTCTAAAAATAAAGGTTGATCTGTATTGTAGTCCAGCCTAAATAGCTTGGAAACAGTCTTGTTTTGAAGGAGATGCTCTAAAATTCTTCTGTAAATTGAAGAAAAATAGACAAGCCCCTCTCAAAAAAATTCAGAAAATGCTATTCATATTTGACGTTCATCTTTCCTTCAACCTGACAAACAATATTAGTAGAAGCTTCTGAAAATACATACGCCTTATGGTTCCAAGGAATATTCAGGAGATATATATACTGGAACAATAACGTTTATCCAAGGATTATATATACAGTCAAGGTGATAAGAATTAATTACCTGCAACATTTTTTTCTTTACGTTGAAGAAATATTTGAATTCTCTTAGCTTGAAACTATTTGTAATTTTTACTACTCCTACCACATTCTTAACGTCACCAGGATGGAAGCCATCCTAACGACAAACCTGCCCTAAATATATTTCAGAGAACAATGCACTGGATGAAGCCAAACTGGATCTTTAATTTGCCTCTTTTTTTTTTTTGGGTCGAAGGATCTTTAATTGTCTTGATATGTATGAGATAGAAGATGTCGGAAAGAAATACTCATGATATTACTATTTATAGGGGAAAATTATTTATTATTTAAATTAAAGATGGACTTGTACTACCATGTTATTGATCAAATTAGCTCCAACGGCTAGAAGTATCCTCCAAATTGACACATGTTCCTATGCAGGGGCGGAGCCAGACTTATAAAGGTCGAGGGGCCAATTTTATAACATATAACTATGTATAGACCAAGTTATTTAATTTTTTATTAATAATTAAAAATGATTTTACAATGGAATTGAGAAAATTTACAAGATAACAAATCATTTATAAAAGACTTAAAAACCATTACTTATAAAGATACTTTTTTTATTTTATTTATAATTCATTTTTAATATATTTTATTGGAACAAAAAAAAATTTAAAACTTATTAACTATGTTTAAAAATTTAATAAGTTTTCAATTTCAACCCTATTAAATGTATATACTTTAATAATATATTTTATCTCTCCAAAATTTAACAGAGGATAAAAGAAAAATATTTGTAATAAAAATTTAATGCTTTAATTTATAAATAGAATAAAAAACACTCATCTCTCTACTTTAGAAGTGAAAAAGCTACACATGAATAAGTGTAAAAACTAAAAAGCATAGAATGCATGCTTGGCATAGGAACTAGGGAGTAAAAAATGCATGATGGAAATAGGGTGGTTAAAGATTGATGGGCCGGCGGGGGGGGGGGGGGGGGGGGGTAGGGCCCCCCTTAAACACTACTTAGGTCCGCCCTTGTTTCTATGGAGGTAGGTTTCAACTTTCAAGGAGGATCTAAACAGGAGAAAATTAATCAAATATATTTTTCTCAAATCCATGCATGTTTAGAAGAATGTTATGAAGTGTAACATTATAATTAATGAGCTTTAATTAAAACGTCACATAATATTTAACCACAGTTTAAAAGTCTCCATACCAAATTGTTATGAGACCACAATCTTTATAAAGCGAATTTCTCATGGAAATATTGACTTGAATTAATTAGGAGCCTTTGACAAGTACAAGGGTCAGAAGGGTCCTCCTATATCTCAACCACTAGATTGGTGGTTCTCAGTAACTCTTCGGATGAAATCCTTTATACTATTGTGCATGGATTAATAACGTTCTTCATGCCAATGGAGGCTTTGAAACTGTACCAGCCAACTTGATCACATATCTCGTATTCGGTCAGACAATCAGAGTCAAACATGCTCAAATTCATGTCAATTATGGATTGTCGACGCTTCCATGTTAGAGTAATTCAACTGTAATTCCAGTTGGACGTTGCCACAAAACTACATATAAAAATTTGTGCATCACATGATCCCAGAAACCCCATGATCCAAGAAATTGCCAATAATCTTTTCTTTTTTGGGACAATAAAAATTTGTGCGTGTAGTTTAATTTACTATTGAAGATTATCATATATCACAACAATAATTTAAAAGATTCATAGCTAATTCAATACTTGTCATCAATCAAATGATCTTTTCTAAAGAAGCAGAAAATAATATTTATGCATTGTCAAGTACTCCTCATATATATTGTCAACTTTAATTTTTTATTATAGTTATAAATCTTTCGAGATGGCTAGCTCATCGAGGACGTTATTCGTGCCGCAAAATAGTCGTTGACGGAATTGGCAATGTGGCATTACCGTGTGCGAGCTGTACCTTCCCATATATCAGCCATTATTATTTATTCTATAAAATGATTTGAATAATTCGCAGTTTATTGGGTTTTTAAGAATTTCTGTGCTGATTGATTCTGGGTCGATAGGTGAGACTTTTTAAACCAATTTAGGTTGTTCCATTTCTATAGTAAAAGATCATATTGGGCATGCTGCATGCTATGGATCGAGTCTGGTTTTCTGAAATGCAAAAAAATTAAGTCTCATTTTGCTGGAGAAACATAATAATTCTCTACTTAATCGTGCTTAATTAACTAACAGTAGTGGCTCTTTCTTCGACTTCATGAAGGTCAATTTATTTTTAATGGAGCAAATGAATAGCATGAATAAAAATCAAATAGTTTTGTACGTTCATATAACGGAAGCTTACAATATTTGACCAATTAATTACTACCTATCAATTGGGGTACCAACATGCTTTGGTCCAAAACCGAAAGTAAACTAATTACCTAATCAAGACGTGATACGTTGGGGCCAATGAGGCTATGATTCCACCGGTTTTAGAAGTACTGAGAAAGAAACAAGAGGAATTCAAACAGCTTGTTAAGACTGTTTAACAAATTATTATTGCTTCCTCTTACGGACATGACTAGGTTAGGCTGCCAAATTACGTGCCGTCTGATTTATCCATTTTCTAATTAATTCCCTTCACACATTTTCTTTGTTCATGATCTAGCGATTGACAGATAATGATCACAGATTCCCAGTTCATCGTCTCGAAGCAACGCTGGCCGGCAGTACATCATCTGACTCATCGTCAAGGAGAGGAAATTAAAAGATTAAGGTCCCTGAAAACAACGCGGTGACACTATATATTTTCATTTGCCTTCATAACGTCCATTTCCTGAAAAATCCAAGTAATATGATGTTAATTAATCAACTTTTTAATGGTTGTCATGTGTGGTTGATAATCAACTTTTTAATGGTTGTCATTTTGTGTGTGTGGTTGATTACTCTTTTTTTCCCAGTTTATTTACAGCCAGATATTATCCAACATGAACTATATTACATTACTGCGATTTGATCGCCACATGATGATCTTCTTATATTTTTCATTACACTTTTTGAGTGCTATCGAGCGATTTAATTATAAGATGGAATTCGAAGAGGACGAGATCAGAGAGGAAATTGGTCTATGACACCATTTGTGTCAGCAATCCATTATAAGCATAATCCATGTGTCGATCAACCAATCTACCCCGCATGGGCTGTAATTGATGCCCATACTGGTATTTATTCTTCATATCTCTCAAAATAATTCTGTACACCAGACTTAAACAACAGAGAGGGAAAATATACAAAAGAAAAATAAAAGGTCAAAACTCTCATTGACGCTCAATTCAATTCGGGTAAGAAGAAAGCAAATTGCTGGGTACGCATGGAGAATTCCTCCAAGCCCGAGAATGCATTCTCAGAATCTCTCTGGCTTTGTCCTGAGCCTTTCGCCCACTCTCCACTTGAAGCACCAAACACAGCTTGGCCACCACACCCACCTGCAACATTTCCTGCAAAACGATCGGAGTTGCTGAGAACTTGGCAATGGACAACAGAATCCTCGCGGCCCTATCATTGGCCATCGTCGACACCCTCAGAATCTTCTTCGACACTATGGCGATTCCCGCCCCATGACTCAGCAGCTCCGCTCTCCCCTCGGCGCACCCGCACAGCATCTCCAACAACACCAGCATCATCTCACATGGCTTCCTGTCCTTGCAATCTAGAAGAAGCTCTATCAATACCGATACGCCTCCTGCTTCCACTGCTCTTAACCTGTTTCTGCCCCATGGACATATTTGGATCAGTGTTCTTAGAGTAGCCTTGGAGGCTTGCTGGGATATCTGGTCTTTCAATAGTTGTACTAGTTCAACGAACATTTCAGGTTTTAAATGGGATAAAACCGTGGGATCAGCCACTTCAAACATCGATTTTAACAATAAGACCGCATAAGCCCGTGATTCATAGAATCCTCTCTGCATGATTCTGGTCAAGCAATCAATGAATGATCGGTTTTCGAGGGTTAAGAGAGTCTTCAAGCCAGCCTCGGAAAGGTGGAGGCTGTGGAGGATGCTCAAGGCTTCATCACCTCCGCTCGTTTTCAATTCAAACACGTCACCGTCCTCTTCAGGTGTATACGAGAAATCTGTGTTGCGGAGGACAATCGATGCCAAGAATTCAACTGCGCCGGCAGCTTCTATGCTACGTTTATTAGCGTCGCTTTCGGAAGCAATGGATTTGAGTGTTTGGAGGCATTTAACAGGCGAATGAGAAGACTGAGAAGCGTCTCTAATGATCTTGGCGACTTGGGTTTTGGTGATGGGAGGTTTAGGCGTCGGAATCCTTTGGATGCCGTGAGAAGCGTTCATGGTACACCAGGATTGAATCAGACGACGAAGGGTGTGGTTGGGAGTAAGGTCGGAGGAGTCCGATACTGAGAGCTGCTGTTTGGTGACGGGGCATGACTTGTTTTTGCCCGAGAAGAGCCATTTCTCGATGCTCTCTCTGTCGTAGGTGATCCCGGAGGAGACGGTGATGGGATCCTTCATGATTTCCAAGGAGATGGGGCACAAAAAGAAGGGAGGAACTTCAATAGTCTCATCCATGGCCGAGGCGTGAAAGAAGAAATTAATGAAGGTTGGTGCCGGAAAGAACGTTGAAATCAGACGAAGTAGTCGAAGGAGTAGAAGAAGATGGCTGCAATCAATTGAAGGCTGGGCGAGGTAAGAGTTGATGCGAAAATGGGAGAGGGAGGGGGGTTCTTATTTATAGGGGAAAGCGTGTTTCAAAGTCAAAACACGGGAAGGGAAGGGGGGGAGAGAGAGGGAATGACTTTTCCAAAGCGAGATGATGGAGATGAGTGGAAGGGCTCAAAGACGATCAACTTTACCTTGTCAGACGTACCATCAATACTCAGGAGCAGGGAAACAAGCCATAAATTAAAAGCACATGTCCTTTTGACTTTCTCTCTCTGGAATCCCCCCAGTTGTGCTTGTCATGTGGTTATGTTAATCTCATGCTCATTGGTTCCTTTATGGAAAGTCCAAATCGGAGTTCGTATCGTGTCAGGTTTTGACCAACCAAACACACATCGCAATTTCATTGTTCAGAGTCAGAGTCCCTCTCTTCCTGGCTCCACACTCCTTCCACCTCACTTCCAGTTTCCATCCTCATTGCTTGCCACCGTAACCCTTTTTTTTTTTTTTGGGGCTCGAATTGTTGCTCGTCGCCGTTGCTCTTTACCGACATGCTTGTTTTCAATTTTTTTGTTTGTTTTGCAAACACGTAAATTGTTTCCTTTCTCCGCATCTCTTCTTTATGCATTTGTAACGTACGTTTCAGATTCAATTTATATTGGTCCAATTTATCTTCTTTGCCATTTGTTTTCACGTTTTATATATTTTGTACTTTTGCAAAAACAAAAATACATGTATGATGCCGTCGATCAATGCTAAATACTCTCTTGAGGTTAAAATATAAGGTATTAATAATTAATTAATTATTTTTAAAAAAATTAATTGAAACTTTAATTTTTTAAAAAAATTTACATTTTTTCAAGTTTATTTTTATTAAATATCCTATATAAAGGCTTTGATATTAATAGTTAAAATTGTAATGCATCATTTTTTTTAAAAGGATAATAAATAAAGTAGTAATATAGTTGAAAAATAATTATAAAAATTATCTAATATCATATATTCTAAGTCAAACAAAACTTTTAAAATATGTTTTATATTATAGTGCAAAGGGAGCAAGTTGTGATGACGTGTATTTATTATCAATATTAATATATATAGAACAAATTCAGGAAAGAAGACAATTAGGAATCTTAGTAAAGGTATTTATTAATTAATATTTTCTTCATTTAAAAATACAAAGTATTTTTAATTAAATCTCACCCTAATAAATTTATTACTTATTTTTAAACTAACTATATATTTTTATATTTACCTTTATTTAATAAGGTATTTCACCCTAAAATAAATATACAATGATTTATTCAATAAGGGCACTTTTTTAAAAAAAGGTAATAATTATATTCTAAAAGATTAAAAATGCCTTAGATTTTTTAATATCTAATTCCTTAAAAAATGCCTTATATTTTTTTACATGAGGGAGTATAAATAATTATTAAATGTCATGAAAGAACCATGATCTTATTTAATTACAATTAAAAATAAATAATTAATAAAATAATTGATTAATTGTGACTCATGAGTTTAAGAAAAACTAGTTGCATATTTAGTAAATATTGCTTGTGAATCAATAAAAAGTTAGTTATAAATCAATAAATATTTTTATGAAATTATACATATTATCACTTGTGAATTTAAACGGTCACTTATCAATTTTAGAAAAATTACTAATGAGTTTATAAAAATTCAATTACAAAAAAATACATAGTTTTGTGGAAATAATCAATTTACACAATTTAATAAAGTTAGTTAGGTATAATAATTATGTTTGAAATTAAAAAATTAAGACTAAATTATCCTTATAATAAATGAAATAAATTTGTTCAGTAAAAATAAATATTAACTTTATAAGGGACAATTTGAAAAAAATGTGATAAATACTTCTTGAAATTTATAATTTTGCTTGTAAATAAAAAACAAGGAGATACATAGTAGTTGGTCTTATATTTGAAGATAGAATGAATAATTTAGCTAGAGATTGTCATTTGTAAATGTAAAAAATGTCACTTATAAATATATAAAACATTAATTGTAAATATGAATAGTCTTAATTGTAAATTAATAATTTGGACCCTCTCTTATTTCTAAATTATCATTTATAAATTTCATAAATTCACAAATACATTTTCTAAAATTCATAAATCATTGTTTCTAAAATTTCAATCAATGATGTATAGATTAGCGAAACTATCTATTCATTCATGATTGACTTTCCACAAATTTAAAAGTGATATTCCTTAAATTTATGAGTGACCTTTTATTAGCTATTTCAATTATAAAAGTTATCTTATTCAAGTGTGAGTGGATTTGAGCTAAAGTGAAAAGTCCTATATTAAGTAAAGTTAGATTTAATAACTAATATAAAATAAACATAAATAATCCATAAGCTTAAATCTTAAGACCTTGTTTGGCATGTGAGGATTGTGATGAAGGAATTAGAATTGAAAATAGATTATTTGATAAAACATGTTTGGCACTCTTGAGTTTTGATTTTCAATAATCTAGATTCAAGAAAATTTACTTGAATAGGACTCCACCAAAGTGACGATGGAATTGGTACAACTCCTTGAAATTATTTTCATTGTACCAATTTGCCCTTCATCTCACATCCAATTTTAATTATGAGAAAATGACAGTAGGGTTAAAATACATATACTAATTAAAATTATATTAGGATTCTAGTTTCATACTAATTAAACATATTTTTAAATCTAATTTTATTCTAATTCTGATTTTGATTCTAATAAAAACTCTTCCATTATACCAAACTAGTTATATAAGATTTTGAGTCAAAATGTAGTGTCTTTTCACTATCACTCTTACCTGTTCGTGCTATCCCTCACTTTCATGCGATTGTTTCCCATTCTTAATAAGAAGTATTTTAATTACAAATAAAAATTACAGTCACTTCTATGTTACTTTAACAATTCAAGATCTTCAATTACCATTAATGTTTTTATAATTTTCATCTTCCCTAAAATTCATTTGAATTTATCATAAATAATTTGATTCATCTTAAATTTTCAAGCAAAATACGGAGAGATTTGTCTAGCTGTTTTCTTACAATATGTATGCATTATTTGCATATAATACAGCATGGAATACTAAAATTTCTGATGCAATAGACTTCAAATCAAACAATGTAAAATAATATTTTGGCGAAGTTGACTTTATGATTGTTTATGTATTCTTAAATGGCTTTTATAAATGAGTGGGGGATAGACTTCGACTTATATGTGAAATAAATAAATAGGGAACATGGTAAGAGCATCTCGCAAGCTTGATTAATAATGTGATTCCTTGTTTTATATTTTTGTTCATATTAGGATTTAGGAGGATTTCGGGGATATTATCTTTGTTCCAGGACCAGGCATAAATATTCAAACCCGAAAATCAAGATAAGAACAGCCAATTGCGGAGCGGGGATGTATATCTCCTGGGTGTGTGAGTGTGTAAATTATATATATAGATATATATATAGATATATATATATATGCATGAGATATGACTTTTTTTTTTTTTGAGCCAAGCATGAGATATGACTTGAACAATTAAATTATAGGCTTCCGTGATTGTTGAACACTTCAGTGTTTCAATACCATACTCCCTTAGGTTTTGGCCAAAAAAAAAAAAAACCATGCGCCCTTGTCATATAATATAAAGCATTTTTTAGAAAAAAAATTATATATTTAATCTTATTTATTTAAGGTGCTTATTTTTTATTAACTCATGACATATGTATCTTTTATGGATTATTTATTCTATAATTTTTTTGTTATTAATATGATTAATACATAAAAATTCACATGTCTTGATTTGATTGGACCAAAGTATATTAAATATATAAGGCTAAGTACATAAATCTTGCTCAGCCTTACTTAATATAAAATATAGGGTATTGGGTAAGTTTTGTATTTTTTTCAATTATATCTTTACTTTATTAAGTAATTAATGAAAATGTTTTGAAAAAAATCAAATAACCACGGTTGCACCTACTAAATTTAACAAAAATTTGGCATACTTTCTTGTTAAAATTACACTTGCCTTCCTTAAAAATTGCAATTGCATCCCACAAAAAAACAATCAATGGCCCCATACTCTGTTTATAATTATCAAACATGAATGTTTAAAAATACTAGCAATTTACTCTTTTATTTATTATAAAAGTAAATTTATGATGAAAATAAAATTAATATATATCTTTAAACTTCTCATATAATTTTTTTGTATATTACTTTAATTTAATTAATATTTGTAATATTATAATGTTTATATTTAGTATAAATGTTGGCCCCACTAACAAATTTTTCGGTGTCTGTCAATAACTCAAATGTTATATTTATTACATTAAGAACATGATTAGAAAGATGTAAAATTTTTTTAAAACATATAGATTTTAACCGTCTTTTTATAAATATAAATTAATTAATAATAACTTATATTGTAATGTGTAAGGAATATATAATGTCACTTGATAAAAAAAATACACATAAGCGGTGACAGGTCTAATTTGAAAATGAAACTTAATTATGATAATAAAAGCACCACAGGTTCCTCGATAAACAATTTATGATTCTATAATTTTTATTCCAGCCGGCGAAAAAAAAAAAAAGCGCGGAAAGAAAATGTGTGCACGTTATGCACGTCGTATATAAAATGTTATCTTGGGCTGCATTTACACTTTCCCGACATACGCACGCAGAGGGTTAATGTACGACAAGCAATCCGACGGTGTGATCCCTCATAGAATATCATAATAATAAAACATGACTTGGATACTTGTAATTGTAAATTATGTAAAATCTTCTTTGAATGTAACATTAAAGAACTGTTAACTGATCAGGTATATATAGACACACAGACACAAAGTAGACTTCATTTTATGTATGCATGTAGAAAATGCCCCTCTAAATTTTATTGATGAGTATACCCGTGCTTACGGTCGTAGAACATCTTGGTAACATTTCAGTCGAGAAGAAATTAAAAGGCGATGGAGAAACTCAAAACTAATAGCCTTTATTTGTGTCCCTTATAATTATGCCCTTTTTTTTTTATCCCC